TTGAATTTTGAATAAACCATATTTTTTATAGAATTCTATATAACACTAATTAAAGGAATTCTTGATAAAACTATTTTTTATTATTATAAATTGTTTCTTAAATTTTTTTCAAAAATTACTCTTTTAAAAACAATTCCATCTAAATATCAATTGTATATAAATTTGATTACAATATTATTAAATATTGATTGATCTTTATTTTTATTTTTTATTTATTTTTTTTTTTTAACAGGCTCATATCTAACTTTATTGATTTTCAAATTATAAGTGTATATTACACAAAACACAAATATATAGGTATATATTTGGGATCAATAAAGATAATAATAAGCTAAAGTTATTTCTAAAGCTACTTCAAAACTTATTGTCCTTTCTTTTATCAAAGAAAAATTAACATTCCTAAAGTGTGCTGATGTTATAAATGAAAATAAAAGAAAAATAAAAATAAAATTTGAACAGTCATATGCAATGTATTAATCCTATTTTTTGGTATATGCCTGTCTTATTCTAGTTTTCCTGTAAAAAGTTTTGAGGGAAAAACTTTTACTGAGTCTTTACAGAGATAAGGTGAAGATCAAAAGAGAGACTGTACAGTTTAAGGCTTGTGAGGAGGAAGTAATCAGAAAGATCCAGATGATATATTGGTGTTCACATAATTGACTTGAAAGTCTCACAATATATCATCAATTAAACTCATTTTTATCTAAATATGGATATATTTATCTATCTATGCATCTTATTTCAGATTTAATTCTTTTATAAGAAACAGTACCTAGCCTTGCAATTAACATACTCTGCTGGTGGCTGTTGATACTAATGATCAACAAGCTTATTCCAGACATTTTGATTGATTCACATATTACTGCTGATATTTTTAGACTCAAGTTTTGATTGGTATAGTGGTGTTAATCTTCTAGTCTTTTAACTTAGAATTTTTGAAGATAGAATGAAAACTTCCTAAGTTGCTTTATGCATGAGCTTTACTATTGAGTATTCCTAATAGCTCTATGCTTTCTTTGGTTTATACTTTTCTGGATAGCTAAGATTGAAACCTACTTGATATGCAATTAGGATATAGACAGCTTTAACTTGAAAAAAGGTTATTTAAGTATCTTGTGACCTTTACCATGGTTAGACAAACTCTTTCTTATATCCAATGATATGTTGATAGCATGTCCTATATCCATCTACACCAATATATATGACTTATAGTGAACTACAGATTCTTATGGAGCTAAAGAAATACATTTAGACACATGAGGTGACCAATAGGAGCTTGTTTATCAATCTTGTCCAACATATTTTATATAATCCAATTAGAATCAGTGAGATCTATGCTACCTGAAATTTCAGAGTCAAGCTAGGATAGGTAAAATTCTTTAGAAAGCTATAAAAAATAGCTTTAAGAGGTCATAATATTAGTCAAAAGATAAAAAAATGAGTCTTTTGATTGAAATATAATTTCTATTATCTCTACTATAACTGAGAGGTAAGAGATACTTCCCAGTTGGTTCTTTTCCCTTTAGAAACTTTCTTGTCATTAGTAGTAAAGGTAAGAGCTGAACTTTGCAAGCCACAAGAGTTCAATTTGTTTAAAGGAAATTAAAAATAAGATATAGGTGAGATAAGGAAGTTCTAAAAATACTCTTTAGGTTGATTTAAGGAAAGTAGTAAGACTCTTTTAGTAAAGAAGTAGCAAAACTTCTTATAAACATATTTTTTGTGTGTGATCAGAGAATCAGTGGAAAGAGTTTTTGGATTGACCTTTATTTGATTATATAAATTAATTAATTTTATAAAAAATAGATTTTATTTTAGATTTGAAAATAACACAAATGTTAAATTGTAGAATACTAAATTTTATTCAATTAGATATAAATATATAATTCTAATTTATAATATTTTTAATCAATTTATAGACCTGTGAGTCTATAATACAGTAGTAATGCTCCCAAATCACAATCACAAGGTCCATAGTTCAATATCACATGAGGCTATATGAAAGATTTATGAAATGAAAAAAACTGTCTATAATACAAAACACAACCAGGTCTAAGAAAACACTGATCATTACCATTCTGGTTTCATACAAATAGGGTTTTCCCACTTCTGGTTCTAAGCAGATTTTTTTCCCTATAAAAGGCACAATTAACATGGTTAACACAAACAAATTCAGAAAAGGTATCAAAACTGGTAATAGTGTCATGTTTATCAAAACCATTTGAAAGGTATACTTCTCCTTTCACAGAACTAGCAAGTCAAGCCTGGCAAGTTGGTTGAGAGGAATCTGTAAGGATTGAAGATCCAAAAAATAGGGGTGTCTAGATTTCCTAGATAAGTAGTAGTAGAAATTTAATCTGACTGGATATTTCTGGGCTTCAAACCATCTGGTGAATTTTTTAAAAGTAGGGTTTTAGAAATGTTTGTCAACATAAATAATATAAATATATATTCCCTACAATTAAATTTGTAAATTACTTTATCAAGTTAATAAATGAAGCTGAGCTTTCATTCCACAAAAAATTTTTAATCAATTTATTCCATTTAGATATAGAATTTCAAATCAAGAATATTTAGCTATAGTTCTTTTAAATCATAAATACAATATATAATAGTGTAAATTTTTTTTTTTTTTATATTTAAACCATAACTAATATTAGATGTGAGACTTTATTTAACAATTTAATTCCATTGTTATTATATTAAACATCTCTGTATATGCAAATTAATATTAATCTATCATGGCAATTCTAACTAGACCTATTATCACTTCGAAAGTAGATACATCTAACTAGTAGCTGGATAATTAATACACAGTTATAAACAGTGATATTAAGTTAGTTAATATAGGGCTCAGATGATTTTTTAAATTTATTAAACTAGTCCTTTTTTGTATATACCTGACGAGATGTAAATATCCTTCAATATTCTCAGATATTATTCACTCAAATTTTGGAAAGGTTATATTATTTTCTTTATTATCATCTGTGATATCAGATCAATCCCTATTAACTGATTTTCAATTAAACGAAGCATCAGATTAGAATATCCTGAACTAGAAGAGTAGAGGTCCTGGAGACTGCCAGGATAGAGTAGGCTTGGAGTATTTTTGTAAAAGACTAGATTAGAAATCTTACTTCATGTAATTTTTCTGATAGTATGACCTTAAGTTTTAACCCTTAATTGATGAAAGATTAGAAGTCACATCTTTATGCAGCATAACCTGTTTCAAACTTGTTCTAGATGATTGGGTATATTTTCACAGGATAACCAGTTAAACCTAATTAGAAGAATAATTTCGATTTTTGGTTCTTAAGTAATATTGAATTACAAATCTTGTGATTGTGACCTGGGAGCATTACTACTGTGTTATTGATCCACAGGTCATATAATTGTGTAAATTATATTGCAAATAATATTGAATTATATAGTAAAAATGGATTGATAATTTATTTATACTGAATTATATAGTAAAAATTAATTGATAATTTATTTATATCATTAATATACTAAATTATTTATTTTTTGATGAATGTTATACAAATGGCATTATATTAAATAAATATTTTTTGACTAGTGAAAAGAAAAACAAGTAAAAAAAGAAAAAAAAAAAGTGAAAAGTGATAAATAATTTAGTTAAGTAATTTTATAATTTTTTAATAAATTTTATGAAATTTGTTAAATTTATCTAAATACTTATTACTACTTTAATGTTACAATATATTAAATTTGTAATTTTAGTCAAATTTTTTGTCAATATTTTATATATCAAATGACAGCAATAAAAAATATTTTTGTTAATAAATTTAATCAAATTCATAATAATATAATTTCAACTAGTGCTAGTGAATAAAAATAAATTCAAACTAGAAAATGTAATATTACTCTTAAAATTAAACTTAGAATACTTATGTATGAAAATTAGTCATGTTGTAAAAAATCTGTAACTATTAGATCTCTAGTCAATTTTTAAATAAAAGCACCATCATGACATGATTGTGATTTAAAATAAGGTTAGTCAGTTCATTAAAATAAAAAAAAAAGGATTGAACCAAGTATAAATTTATAGAAAAGTGTAATATTATTTTTCAGATCCAAGAAACTTTTAGATTTTTGAGTAGTTAAGTTTAGCAAGTTAAAAAAAAAATAACATTATGCATCTGACTATTAATTGTTTGCGTGATCTCGTAAAGACATTATGTCGCTATCTTTACTCTTTCTCATAAAAAGAGAACACTATATTAAAATTAAATTGGGATGACAGTTCTATAAATTTATCCGCACGTTTTGCAGCCATGGAATGAATTTTTTTCTAATAAAAAATTATAAGCGAATTGTTAGGTTTACTCCAATAAAATGTGACGAAAGAAAATAACTCACCTTCATAATTAGATATTCGCCCAATTTTTCTTGATCCAGTACTGTTTCCACCATTTGCACTCCTAAGATTCTCTGCAGCGTTGGGCTATATAAAAAATTAGATATGGAACAGGTATAGAAATATAAGGTAATATAAAAGACGTGCATACCGAAATTAAGCTTTGGAAAAATAGCAAGAAGAAAGTATAAAGGGACCAAAAAAAATCTTTTATGGTTCTAACGACCGTTCGGCTTTCATTTATAGTTCCGTCTATATAAGGGAAGAAGCTTATAATTTGGAATCAAACACGAGAAACGTAATTATTTCTTACCGCTGGAAATGTATTTTGTCATGTCTGGTAATAAGTGATTTGGATAGGCAAATATCCAATAAGGCCCTTATATGTGATATGTAGTGCAGCCAATAACAATAATACAAATAATATAATAAAACTTGCACAATCATTCAGTTATTCATTCACATTTCTGCCTCGAGATGGTATCTCCCCGTCTTCCCAGCGACGTCGTGCAAAATATACTCGCGTATTTACCAATCAAAATCATTTTCTCTTTGCGAAGAGTTAGTAGAGATTGGTATTCTATTTATGAGCACGCCATTAAACAACATCTCTCTCTTTTCAATGTCCAAGTATTTGTCAGACTTGGACCACAGAGGGACTCGATCGAACCAAAATACTCAATTGCCCTTGATTGTGTTGGTTTTGATTTGGACTCTAGAGTTTTTACTTTTATACCTACCATTAATTCCAAACCTATCTATTGTAATCCAACTAGACTTCGCCAAGTAAAGATTGTGTTTGGAGAGTGGTACGGAGTTGACACAAAAAGACATAACGGTAGTACTGCTCTATTGGAAAATACTTTGGAGAACAAAGATGACGACTTCCCTGTGATAGGTTCTTTCGATCGAGCTTCCGATCCACAGGCTCAAGAACTTTTGCGACATTCAAATCTCCAATTTCACAAACATTATGTCGAAGCAGTGAAAAAATATTACTATATAGAGGAGACTCCCGATAAGGATGGGGAAATTGTTACCTATCTTGGTGACAAGGACATGATTTTAAAATGTAATATCAAGGATTCAGTCATACCTGAAGAAGAAATTATTGACGCTGAAGATGAAGAGGATGAAGATTCCGATCTGAATAAGGGTTCTTCCTTTGATGTGGAATTTGTCAAAGTTCGCACCTCTTGGCTCGTTGGTGGCACCACTAGGAAGATTCTCCCCCAAGAGTTTCATAAACAAATATATTCCGATAGATATGATCTTCTCAATAGCATCACATCGTCTAATAATATTCCGAGATACAATCATTACTGTCCAAAAGTACTGAAATGGATACTATCCAGAAATACAAAAGGCGATAAAGAAACTATTCAACTTTGCCAACACCTTTACAGTACAAAGGGTGATTTTACGATCCGTGATAAATTTGAATTGGCATTGGAAGAAAAAAGTATTGAAAAACAGAAAATGTGGAAATATTCTTTCGTATCAAGATTTTTCTGTGATCCAGATAATTCTTCAGACACCTTTGAACAAACCTTAGATAGATTTTGTAGGGCTGAAGAGGCAGAAGGAAAAATTCGAGCTCCAGATACAAGAAATAATAGAAATAAATTTCCAAAAAGAATTTTTGGGCTAACGGTTCCCGGTTTTTCATAGGAATTCGATATTTCTTGGCACTTGATATTCAATATTTTGTAATTTATGACTGCAACATTTGATAGTGATCGGTATAATTAATTTTTGGTGTTTCTAGATCTCGCTGCACAGAATTTCCATATAAATTATGATATTTATTAATAAAGATTCTAATTTAATTACCGTATACAAGGTGAAGCTACTTATAACGCGATTTTTATTAAAGTTATGAAAAACAAAGGTTATGCCTGAGTGAATTTATTAATTTCGATACTAATGGATCATTCTAGCATACAGTAATTTTGCGATTAGAAGGTTTCAATATCTTTGTAATCTCAGAATCATCGGTTTCATGCTCCTAAGGTTCTTTGATAACTGAAATTGAACGAATGTTATTAACTCATACAACGTAAAGAAGGAATAAAATTACAAAATGACCAAAACTTACTTCCATATTCTATACAATTGCATAATACCTGTTCCTGCAAGAAACACATTTACAGACAATAATGGATAATTCACAGGTATAATCTGAGTTGAATACCTTGACCAAATTACACCAGTGGCCGTAATAGCTAAGTGCGATAATAAGAAAAGCGTATTGAATACTTATAGAATTTCTATAAAAGGCGTTTGAATTTATAATCCTTACCAACATTTTGAGACGCTGACAAACTTTCCGGAGGACGTCTTAGATCACTTAGACCAGCAATAACCAAACTCTAGAATTTCAAAACTAGTAAGCACTTGAGAACGTGATACAACGAGTTTACGTGTAAAATACCGACCCATTTCATCATTGGAGCCCAAAAATGGATGGTTTTTGGTCCTAATAATAAAAATTTTATAAGAATGAAATCCATTGAACTCAATGCTGAAATATGTTGAAGAGAGAACCTGCAGGGTGATTAATGAAATTTTGAATTCTCGAGGATATTGCAACATTCGCCATATCAAAGGTATTAAAAATGAGGAATGAAAATGCTACGCTTTTTTTTTTTTGCGTTCCTTCTTTAAACAACCGATTAGACTTGGTCTAGGGAACCAACAAGTTTTTATTATATTGAACTAGACCACTTTGTACGTGATAATTTTGATTTGTATATTGCAATCTCTCTGATCTAATATTGGATTTCTCTTTATAAATTGATCTTAAAAAAAAAATTTTTTTTATCTGCTATCACGTGATACAAAATTTGATTTAGGATATCTAATTACCAATTTTTTTAAACTAGCCTATTTTACATTTTATTCAATATTTAAAAACAATCAAATTAATATTTTTCTTATGCTATTAAGAATTTATTGATTGTTAAAAAGTGTATTATACAAGAAATTTTTATTGTGTATTTAAAATCATTATACAATTTAAAAAACTTTTACATAACAATTCACCTATTTTAAAAGTTTAATTTCTCTAGATGCAACTTAGGAAATGATATTTTGCTCTCTTAATAACTTGGATTATTCTTTAACTAGCAAGTTTATTGCTTACAGATCATTACTATAAATCACCAAAATTCTAAATAGCAAATCAAATATCTAATTACTTTTTCCTTTTTACTATTCATATTTTAATAATCTCTTCAATATTTATACTTTGAGTTGTTCTTTTGATAGGATTTTTTCTGATAGAGAACTATCCTTTTTCTTTGAATTTTCTATATTGTCACATTCCTTTTTCAAAATTCAGTGTTATTTAGATCTTCTATCAATACCCAAAGTTTTTTTTTACTCAATTATTGTTTTACAATAATTATTTCAGATCTTTCTTTTAAAATTTTTTCATATTTATTGTTATAGTCTAGTCTTCTTATAACTTTTCTTATAATAAGCAACTTTATCTTATAATATAGTTTGGGAAAAAACTCTTTCCGCTGATCCTCTGACTACACACAAAAAAGATGTTCACAAGAAGTTTTTATATTTCTTTGCTAATAAATTCTTAATATTTTCCTTAAAACAACTTGAAGTATGACTTCAAGAGTCGCCTCTATCTTTTCTCTTTTGTTTATAAACCTCTTCACTCAAAAACTTGACTTCTAGTGATTAAGAAAAGTCAAGAAACACCTTTGATACCAACAGCAAGAAAGTTTCTAAAGGAAGAAGAACTGACTGTGAAGTATCTGAAGATCTATTTAATCTTTGAAGTGAGAGGTATATAGAGGTTTTTGATGACAGAAGGGCTTATTTTTTCCCTTCCAGTCACTGTT